AGTATGTGGCAGCCCTCTAACGGTCTGAGGGACAGTGAACTGGTCCCCTGTGTAAAAAGTTTGGGGACGCCTGGTCTAGGAGCATGGGGGAATCTGGCAGTGGGGAAGCAGGTCAGGCATGCTCCAGCTGACCCAGGCTAAGTCCTCCTACAAGCTCCAGGGGATTGGACTCTTAGGAAATCGTCAGTGGATTTATTCTAAAAACTCATTTTTAAAGAAGAATAAAGTTCTCCATAAAAAAGTACAAATAGCCCAGTATATTCAGTTGCTCTACTGGAATTAACAAGCAATTTCTTCCTTTAGGTTAAAAAAAAATCTTTGGAATCTGTGGGCTTTTGTGTAGGGTCCCTGTAAGGCTGTGGGATGGCTGAGTGTGACCTCCAAGGGCATTAACTGTCACCTGATCACATAGAGGAGAGGCACAGGGGTCAGAACCACTCATGCTGTTGACCTTTCCGAAGAATCCCTGACACTACAGAATTAACACCATTGTGGTTGACCCCATTTCTAGAGGACAGCCTTCACCCATGTGTACCTCAGGTAACCTTCCCAGTTTTCTGGATCTTCTAACAGCAGAAACAGAATTCCCTAGATCTGCTGCGTCAGCCTGAATGGGAGGAGACAGGAATGTTGACTGTCTAGTGTATTTCACAACCTGTAGCCCGAGCAGCTCAAGGAAAATGACTTTTAAAAAATATTTCCACTAGGTGCTGTGGGTCACCTGGGCTGGGCATGTTGGCTTACACCTGTAATCCTAGCACTTTGGGAGGCTGAGACGGGTGGATCATGAGGTCAGGAGATTGAGACCATTCTGGCCAACATGGTGAAATTCCATCTCTACTAAAAATACAAAAATTAGCTGGACATGGTGGCAGGCACCTGTAGTCCCAGCTACTCGGGAGGCTGAGGCAGGAGGATCGCCTGAACCTGGGAGGCAGAGGTTGCAGTGACAGGAGATCACACCAATGCACTCCAGCCTGGGTGACAAGAGTGAAACTCTGTCTCAAAAAAAACCAAACAATTAAAAAAAATTTTGCCACACATTCCTTGTCAAATTGGTGTGTGGCTGCTAAAAATACAGCACCCTTGTCCTTCTTGGTGACTGTCATGCCTACTGCTGTCCTGGTAACTCTCACAATTACATCCTTTGGGTCCCTGGCTCAGCGTCTGTTTTGTGATTATGATTGTATGGTGTGCCCAGTGGGGGAACAGGCACTCCTACCCTTGTTGGGTTATAAAGAAACAGCAAATGGTGTGATGTGTACACACAAGAAATAGACTTCATAAGACCAAAGTGAGAAAATGACTGTCAGATGGCATCTCCTTTCTGAGGCTTTTAAAAACACAAGACTCACTTTTTCTCTTTTCAGTACTGAGAAAACACACATCCCAGAAAAAAAAAAAAAAAATCCCCTCTGAAATGTCTCCTGCTAAGTGGAACCAGGTGGATATGGTGTTGTTTCTGAGACTTCTCCATTCATCCTCAGCTGCCATAATTCTTGGCAAGGAAGCCAGAGAGGAAACGGGCAGGAATCTACCCGCCTCTGGCGCACACTGGACGGTCTGGCTCTACCCAGAAACTTATGAGCTACTTCAAGGTGGGGAGGGGAAAGGGGCTTCTGGCAGCTGGTGGGGATGTTGTTAGCATTTGGGGGGTGTTTTCCGAGGAGGAACAGACTGTGTCCCTGGCAAAACACTCTCTTGAGGGCCAGCAGATGGAAATTTCCATCTGCACCAGCCATCTCCATGTGGAAGTCGCTGACAATGGCACCCTTTCCTCTCCCTCTCACTGCAAGGCATATTTCTGGATGCACCCAAACGCTGTTCTTCTCTGGCTCTGTCCTGACTGCAGCCCCCGCCTCCCTCTCCCTTCTCAGCACGTCCGTGGTGAGGTTCGCTGGAAGTCTGCCCACTCCTTCCAGGAAGTCATCACACTCGCCTAAGGACTTGGGCTCAGAGAGGTGCTCAACAATCGTTTGCTGGGTTGTATTAATCTTGGTCTTTCATAATCTTTCCACCAAGCACCTCCGGCCAGGCTTCCAGAGCTCTTGACTCCATGGTTTTCTATCCAAATTCTGAATAAGATATTGGATAGAATATCTTATTCTATCCAATAAGAAAGGGTGGACGGGGGCTCTGCATGGACCCACTAGGCCTCGGGATGAAAGATGAGGAGGAGTGCTACTGAAGCAATCATTTGGCTCCTGTGGTTTTCGATCTGCCTTTTGAATTTGTTTTTGCCTGGATGTGGGCCCCTCATTAACCCAGAGGGCAGCACCTGGCAGCACACTCCAGTGACTTCCTTTCAAACCCGATACCTGGTGACCTTCATCAAAATGCCAAGAGATGGGCTGCCAGCCCACAGCCTGCAGCCTCGGAGGAAAATTCTGCCACCAAGGAGTGGCCACCTTCCAAGGGAAGACAACACAGAGCCATTTGAATGGCCTGGTGTGGTCACAGCTCCACAGGTCCTGCGGGGATGTGGATGGTGCTCTACTCTGCCAGGCTGCCTAGACCTCCACAGGCCCTGGCAATCAGGCAGCGCTCAGGAGCAGGCACTTCCCAAAAGGTCCCCCAGGGCCCTCCTGCGTGGCTGCGTCAGCTCCACAGCACACCCCTGCCACTCTCACTTCACAGGATGCCCACAAAGGGGGCAGTGCCATAGAATTTCATAAACTGATTCTGGGGCGAGCCACTGCTCGTGGTTATCTACAGGACAGTCTTCCCACTATAACTGTCTTCGGCTGCTGAGATCTGCAGAGCTCTAACCATTATCCACATTCAACACTCAGCAATGGATACACAGGCTCCACAGGCAACCCTGCACTGGACCCTGATTTTTACTGTTTCCCCCCGAGGCATCTGTGCTGGGGTCTTCTGTCCCTCAAGCAGTGTGCTGGGCACCCCCATCGGGGCATTTTCTTTGAAAACTTTGCCACATGGTCTGAGAGATCATCAGCCAGCTGAGATGACTATCCAATAAGAAAGGGTGGACGGGGGCTCTGCATGGACCCACCAGGCCTCGGGATGAAAGAGGAGGAGGAGTGCTACTGAAGCAATCATTTGGCTCCTGTGGTTTTCGATCTGCCTTTTGAATTTGTTTTTGCCTGGATGTGGGTCCCCCATTAACCCAGAGGGCAGCACCTGGCAGCACACTCCAGTGACTTCCTTTCAAACCCGATACCTGGTGACCTGCATCAAAATGCCAAGAGATGGGCTGAGAGAAAACAACTAAAGCCTAAGCCTAAGCCTGCTGCTTGCTTAAAACTGGCAGGCCGTGGCCAGGCGCAGCAGCTCACGCCTGTAATCTCAGCAATTTGGGAGGCCGAGGCAGGTGGATCACAAGGTCAGGAGATCGAGACCATCCTGGCCAACATGGTGAAACCCTGTCTCTACTGAAATACAAAGAAAAAAAATTAGCCGGCATGGTGGTGCATGCCTGTAGTCCCAGCTACTTGGGAGGCTGAGGCAGGAGAGTTGCTTGAATTCGGGAGGTGGAGGTTGCAGTGAGCTGAGATCGCCTCATTGCACTCCAGCCTGGTGACAGAGTGAGACTCCGTCTCAAAAAAAATAAACCCCACCCCCAAAAACCACAACCACGAAAAGAACCAGGCAGGCCATTTGCAGTGCTGAACAAAAGGTCCCTAACCCCATGTGTTCCTCCGTGGGACCTTCCTCCTCTCCGGGGGCCTCGTGGGGGTCCGTCCTGCAGCTGCTTCATTCTGGAGCAGCAGGACCAGCCCTTTTGTCTCCTAGGCTCTTTTTACATACCAGTCTCTTTCCCCTCAGATCGAAGGAGGCGCAGCTGGTCAGGACACGAACTCAGATTGTTTACTGACCCGAAGGGCTGCAGGGACCGGGAGCCAGGCCCCCCTGGAGTCTTGACGTCTACATCATAAAAGACGGCAGAAGCAATGGCTCTTTTCTGCCGGGCTCGTTCCCTACCCTGGCTCTCCTACTCAGGGTTTTCCAGGTCTCACCTCAAAGACAGTTACATGGTCGTGTGTTCTGTGAATTTCAGGCAAACAGCCAGAGGGGTAAAACAAGGCGAGCTTAGCTGGGAGATGCTTCTGCGAGGAAACAGAGCAGCTCTCTACAAGGACCAACAGCTACTTTCATTCTGTTTCTGTTTGTGGTAGAACCTGGCTCCTCGGAGGACCCTGCAAGGGGGGGCGGGGGTGTCTCACCAAAGCAGCATGCTCCTCCTAAGGCTGGAAAGGCCAATGCCAGCAATGGCTGGAAGAAAGTCCACAGCCTCTGAAGAGCACGCGCTGGTGCCTGCAGGGCACGGCTGTGTTGGTCTCATGAAAGTTGTGCATGCTGGGGCAAACAGCAGGTCATTGCAGAGGCAACAAGACAGACAGCATGCTTCCTACGTGTCCAGGACGCACAGCAAGAGGGGGGTCTCCCCATCCCTCCCCGCTACCTGGAGTCAGCAACAGTCGAAGGCTGAAGGGAAGAACGAAACACACACATGAACACACAAAGGTCAGCCCAGGTGCTGCGGCAATGCCACGTGTGCCCCGACGTACTAGGCAGACCGGAATCAGACACTTCCTGCTGTCCCCACGAGGAAGAGTGGTGGAGGGACCGGGACGAGAGGTGGCATTAAGAAACTAAGAGGGAGTGTCCGCTCAAAAATAGTCCCCACCAATAAAACTTTTGTTTGCAGGTAGACTCAAATATATATATACATATATATATATATGTATGAATACATATATATGTATACACGTACACACACGCACACACAGGTAGTAAGAGACTAATTTATCATGTAAAGTAGCCGTTCATTTTTGAAATTTGATCTACATTTAAAAATTAATCTATCTGATACAGTGCCAATGGGCAGGGAGGGAGAGCACAGAAGCGACGGATTCAGCTGAAACTGAATTAGAAAAGAGGATTAGAAACAAGAACCTGCACAAATAGAGCACAATTGTGGCTTATAAAATTATTAGAATACTCTCTTCATACTTGATACGATTATATCAATAATATAGATTCACTTGTTATTAAGGTTTATTATAAACATGCAAAATTCATTGCATGATGCATTTGCAAAACATATTAAAATCCTTCTAGCAATAAAACATCTTTGAGCTGTTAGGCATCCAAGGTTTCCTGATTCTACAGCTCCAGGCGTGTCATTCAACGTCAACTGGAAATGGGAACCATTTTTTTCCCATTTTGTCACTTTTATCCCTAAGTGGACATCAAGGGCCGGAGAAGGGAGGAAAACCAATCAGAAGGGGCTGACGCTCGAGTCGACACTTGGATTAAGTTACTGTACATCGTACTTTCATAAACGACACTTCGGCCTACTAAATAAATAAGTACAAAAGGGAGAGGGCGTACACTTCAGCTTCTTGAGGAGGTTAACAAGGTAGGTAGCAAACTCTTGGTGTGTGGGGGGGTGGGTGTTGGCGAACAACACTCGTGAGTAGTGGCATGATTACTGATGGCACCCTGGATGGAAGAATAATCTCCCAGAGATTAAAATGAACATACATACACACTGGCTTATCCTTGATCTGACATGATTTCACATGCTTGTTCAGCAAAGTCCTTAGACGATTTGGCCTCTTACAAAGAATGAAAGTTATCAAGACAGTTATCAACCAAGGAGGGCACCAGGTGACAGATTCACCCAACACTCATCTGAGGTGTCTGTTTTTTTTTTTAAAACTGGTAACTGCCGGACTATGCTTGGGTTAGGAATTGTCAATGTTTGGGAACAGTGATTAGGTTCATCCCGGCCTTTCAGATTCTAGGGGCTGTTTCCATGGAGGCAGAGAATGGAAGCCGAGGATATTTTGAAGCCTCCCCCACCCCCAGCCCCTCCTTGCTCTCACCCTCTTGGCTTCCCGTTCTTTAACTCCAAAGACGTCTTGGGTGGAGAGGTCTCCAGCCCCCGGGGCTGGGGCAGGTTCCCTTGAACATCTCTGATGGGGGATTCCGGTGGTGAAAAATCCACAGATGGAGGGTATGGAAAGTATATCAAATTGTACCCAAAAGGGGGCAAGAGTCCATTTGCTTTCTAGGAAAGGTTAGCCTAGAGCCAGATGTAACTTCTACAGAATTAAAGTGGACACTGTGCGTGACGTACCATCTTCCACTAAGATAATGTTCCTGGTTGCAAGAGAGAGACCCTGAACAGTTGATCACATTTGGACTAATAACCCTACAATTTTCAGGCCTCTACATGGAATCAGACGCAAGGCCACGGCCTTAAAATTTTAGGGTTAAAGATAACTTCCCGCTGCTGGGAGGGCTGGGGGCTGGGGAGGTGTTTGTTCTTGCGGGTGAATTTCATACTGCACTCTGTAAGATGGGGTGCACAAACTGGGGGTTGACATACGAGAACCCTTCAAAATCAGACTGGTCTATGTTAGCAATAACCAGCTGATCGGGCGGTGTTAAGACAGGCTGTCCTCGTGTGAAGAACTTGTCAAAGTTTTCTGCTCCTTTGCCGCACTGCGGAGAAAAGACAAAAAGAAGGCAAGGTCAGTCAGTGGGACAGAAGGCAGGAGCAGCTTTCCGAGAGCCGTCTCTGGGGAGGAGCAAGGCCCCGGGGAGCGCAGGGCTGGTTAGGCAGGAGGAACCCTGGAGGATTTGCAGGCCTACTGGATTCAAAAGCCAGGCAGAGCAGACGACGACGAGTCACCCAACTCTAAGTCTCTAAATACCCCAAACAGAAACCCTGGGTGGGAATGCATGGTTGGCAATGAGGCAGCAACAAGGGGACAGCCCTGTCCCTTCACAACCACCTCATCGAGCAAGCGGAGCTGAGAGCACGGATGCCACACAAGTGGGGCCGTCAGTCACAGTTCTGTGTTGAAAGGCCAGGGCGTCGGCTGGGGCTGCAGGCAGTTACCCCTGCACCAAGCGAGGGGGTGAGTTACCGCCCCATCTGGTTCTTTGCTGCAATATTTGTAATGAAGTAAAAACTGTGTTATTCTTGCCTTCCAGCTGGGCTGCTCTAGAAACCCCAGCCCCTAAATTAAGCTTCAAGCAATATGAGGTAGGCATGGCGGCAAGGCTGGGAGATTTGCGCCTGGCCGGCAAGTTAGCACAGCTAGACAGAGCTGGCCAGCGGGCAGGTGGGTGACTGGAGCTCATTTGCAGGGTGGTCCCAGGCTGGAGGAGGTTTACATGGCGCCCTGGGGAAGCAGGGAGAGGCCTGCTGTCTGTCTTGGCTATTCCACTGGGGCGCTCCGTGCACGTCGAGGCTGCAGGCGGAACTGGTGCGCTGGAGTCTCTGAGACACACAGCCGCTTAGGCAGCACAGCTTGGTAGCCTGACCCCAAAAGCGGGGAAGGGATGTTCTCTTCACTTTGTCAGTCACCCACAAGGGTTGTGATGTGTTGAAGTCCCCAGTATCCCAGCATGACTCTGAAACAGGGAGAACTGGGAGTTTCACTGAGGATCCTAAGAATGACTTTCAAGATGTTGCAAACTATTTCCCTTGGACCTGCTGCTAGCACCACAGGACCAACAGGAATTAATTCTGAGCTAGCACATGTTTCAAACGAACCAGGCACCCTCAGGTCTTTAACAGGGAATAGCTCTGGATTCACTGTGAAGGTGCGGGTCCACCCAGTTTGCTCATCTGTAACTCCGGGAGAATAATCACACCTCCTGCCCAAGGCTGTCGTGAAGGTGAAATGTATGGGGATTTGCACAGAACCCAGTCGAGGCGAGGGGCCAGCACATGCTGCTAGTGTTTTGATACGGCAGTTGAGTCTCACGGGCTGTGCTCTCACAGCTCCTTTTTCACACCTTATCTTCTAGGAGGTCTACTTGAGAACCTACTTTGGGTTTGTTGTTGTTGTTGTTATGAGGTGGAGTCTCACTCTGCCACCCAGACTGGAGTGCAATGGCATGATCTCGGCTCACTGCAACTTCTACCTCCTGGGTTCCAGTGATTCTCCTGCCTGGGCCTTCAGAGTAGCTGGGATTACAGGTGCTCACTGCCATGCCTGCCTAAGTTTTTTGCATTCTTAGTAGTGATCCGCCTGCCTTGGCCTCCCAAAGTGCTGTGATTACAGGCCATTGTTCCCTGCCAGAATCTACTTGGATTATCCTTTCCCCACCTACTTTTCATCAAATAAAACCTGCTCCTAAGTACCTGTTGAGGTGGAAAGCATGTCATAAATTCAAAGTAAGGTGTTTATAACGAACAGCTTTCTTCTCTGGGCTTTTTTTTTTTTTTTTTTTTGGAGACAGGGTCTCACTTTGTCACCCAGAGTGGTATGCAGTGATGTGAGCACAGCTCACTGCAGCCTCAGTCACCTGAGCTCACTCGTTCCTCCCATCTGAGTCTCCTGCATAGTTGGGACTGCGGTGCACACCCCCCACACCTGGCTATTTTTGGCATTTTTTGTATTGACAAGATTTCACCATGTGGCTCAGGCTGGTCTTGAACTCCTGGGCTCCAGCAATCTGCCGGCCTTGGCCTCTCAAAGTGCTGGGATGACAGGCGTGAGCCACCGTGCCCGGCCTTCTGGTTTATTTCCATTTTAATAAGCAACATCTACTCTTCACCCAAGGAGAGTTCACATCGCAATGAATGGTAAGTATGTGGGGGACGCGTGTGGTGGGGCAGAGGGGACGAGAGGCAGGGAGTTGTCTGTGGGTTTTCAAGTTACTCTGTGGAGCCGTATAGACTACAAGGCTCACTGTCGCATCAGCCCTGCCTCCCACATGTGGCAGCAAAGCTTCCACTCTCACGACCCACATTTCCATGGTGTATTTCCTTGGAAAAGCACAAAGCACCTCAAAGCCAAGGTCAGCAGAGGCAGAATCTGCAATTCATATCACCCTACGTGCACAGGCCACTTGCAAACACTGAGAAAGGCTCTTTGAAAAATAAATAGGGGCACACTGTTTCTTCCTAGGAATTAGTCAGAAGTCTGTACTTAATTCATCAGTTAAACAGAAACCAACTTTCCTTGGAACACCACATTCAGAGGCTGCTGGGATGACAGCAGCCGAAGAAAGAGCCCTCCTCTGGATATACCAGTGGTTCCCAACCAGCGATGATTCCGCCCCCAGGGAACCCATTTTTGGTCATCAGGACTTGGGCCGGGCAAGCCTGGCATCTAGTGGGTAGAGGCCAGGGATGCCGCAGAACACCCTACAACGCCCAGGACACCGCCCCCGCCCCAAACAATGATTGGCTCGAAATGTCAACAGTACCTGATGTTGAGAAACTCTGGGGTATACCAAGACTATCGTGTGAGGCTGAGTAGGTCCTGAGATCAGTGGGAGGGCAGACATGAAGCCAGACTAGGGAATTAGGCAGGAGCAGCCGCATGCAAGAGCGGAGAATGGAGAAGCGTCAGAAGTCCCAGGGCGAAAGCATCTAGAGCAAGTGACAGCTCCGTGGAGTTGGCTGTGGAAACATCTTTGTGGAACCTGATTAATCAATACTCATTGCCTGGAAGAATTCAAGTGAATCTACAGTCAGGGCTCCCAGAGGCTGGGATGTGTGCTCCCTTAATAAGAGATCATCTGTGCTTCTCTTGATACTCACTGACCACGCAAAGATGAGCAAGAAGGAATTTTTGGAAAAAATACGATAAAGGGATGTGAGTCCCTAAAAGGACGAGCAAAGCAAGCCAAGGTAAAATGTCCTCTCCCCTTTTCGCAGAGCACGTTGGTGAATTTAGAGCTGCATAGACAGACGTCTAGGCTGGGTATCTATCTATCTGTCCTGCTCTGAATGTATCATTGTGTTCTGTGAAAAGAGTGCACAGGTCTGACCTTTTCCTTTGAGTACCGTCTTTATGGCATTCACGAATCATCGTCCAGTGGGGCATTTCCAAAAGCCATGGCTTTACTGCCAAAGAAAAATAACAAGCAAACGACAAGGAGAGTTCCCAAGCTCTAAAACGGGTACGACGGAAACCTTCCCACTGAGAAGCCTGGGAAGGCTTCAGGGCATCCAGTTTCAAGACTGGTGTCCAGAGAAGGGTCAGTCCTGAGGGCGACCACTGCTCGGTAAGCTAAATACTGTGATCACATGGGGCAAAAATCCCGTCCTGGTTAAGGCCTCATGCGCCGCCTGTGCTGCGGACTGCAGAGCTGAGCGGGAAGTTATGGAGCCGGGATCAACCCAGTTGCTGCGCTGCAGTCACACTGAGTGCTGCTGTGCGGCTTCTGGCCTCAAAATTGCTCACTGCTGGAAACACCCTCTCCTCTCCTTTCTCGCTGTAAATCTCTCCGGAATTTTCCCTGAACTCAAAGAGGGAGAAATCACACTTTTAACAAACGGAAGCTTTTCTTAAATTGGTTTCACTTAGGTGGAGAGACAGGAGGCAGGCCCGGGCCGAGGGCAAAGAGTAAAAACTGAATCACTGAGGTTCAGGCACGCCGACCACGGGGCCGAAATGAGCCATGGGTGTATCTCAGCAAGCAACAGGGGAAGAAAGCCCAGAAGGGCGGCAGGCTGACCTGAGAGTCAGATCTGATCCCGACACTGAGAAGGACTTTTTATTCTCAGGGAGCTCAAACCAGAAATAAGTCTCCTTTGCCCACCAAGAGGCAGGGGGCAGCACAGCTGTTTCTCCCCCAGATTTGGCGTGGTGAGAAATATCGTTTCCTTGTCCACCATAGAAGGCCTGCCAGTGCATTATAAATCAGCCTTCCACGGCTCTTAGCAGAAGTAGGCCTGGAAGCAGACAATCCACTGTAAGGCAGATTGGAAGATCTTGAACTACTTGTTTTCCAAGATGTTGATGTGGAAAACTGCATCTGACCTCATCACCACCAGCACCGCCACCACCACCTACTGAAAAATGTAATGAAAACCAGGGAAGTTTGGATCCTTGGAGAAAGGGCAAGCAGCAGATTCGAGAGGCAACTACATTTCTCAAGTGGAAGCGATTCTTCCTACTATCTATGATCTAACCTTATGCATCACCATGACCTTGATGGGCAATGGCCTCGGGCACCATCTTGGAGCTGAGCAGGGGGCGAGAAGAGGCAGAGAGGCTAAAGGGTGAGGGGGCACCTGCGTGACTGCATGAATGCCAAGGGAATGAGTGAAAGGTGAGGCAGGTAGTCACCACGGCCACTGCAAGGGCAGCCTCCACAGCAGTCTGTGACAACGGGGAGGTGGTGTTGTCCATGGTCTCAGAGCCCTAGGACATGGCAGCTAGAAGTATCATTTACACCTTGTGAGCAAAACTGGGCTGGGTATACACTATCTCCACCTCCAAAGGTCACCCAGACCTTTTGCCAACTGAGGCTTCTGCCTTCTGGGATGTGACGTACCACATGATGGATGTGGGAGAGAGATGAAGGGGAAGAGGGCATGGGGGGTGGCCAGACCCAACCGGTTGGCGTGTGAGCTCAGATGAGTTCCTCTGGAAATCCCTGAGACCAAGTGATATCAATACCCAAGGGAAAGTGGGGACACAGAGGGGAGAAGGTTATGGCTGGAGATCAGGAGCCCCAATGAATAGCTTCGGCAAACTCAATGCACCTCTCTGTGAAGGTCAGACGGGGATGTGGCCATCCACCTTCCCAGGCTGTTGTGAGGATCCAGGGAACTAGTGGGTATGAGGCCCTTCCTCAATGAGAAGGTGAGACAGACATAAGGGACACGCTGTGAAGCAAGTGCCGACATGTAAAAGGCATGTGATCGCTATCTGAGAGATGAACGAACATTATGAATAAGCTACCTCCCTCTTTCCGATCTCTGGACTCAGGAATTAACTGCTTTGTCGTTTTTGATATTCTTACCCATGTGGTCAAACTGACAATGAATACAGCAAACCCAAGAGAAATCGGGCCTGGTAAAGAACATTACATGGCATGGAATGACGTGGACTCCGGACCTGCAGTGTGCCCCCACTGAAGCCTCACGTGGCAGACACGCTGCTTGCGGCCCCTTTCCTTCTGCGATGGGGCGTGCGGGAGACTGAGGTGCAACGCAGGAGTTGGCTTCGTGGCTGATTCTTACCTGTGAGAGGCCACTGAGCATGAGCAATACACATGCTGGTCTCACCCCCGCCCTTTACCCCAGCATCTGTCATGGAGGATCCAACCCCATGGGCACAGCTATGGGAATTATGCGAAATATAAGTAGCTCAAAACACTGCTGTTAAAAAGCAAAACCAAGCAAAACCCAGAAGAGGAGGAAGGATGCAGAACAAACGAACAGCAAAGGGATGTCGCAAGACTACGGAGAGAGGAAACCTAACGAGGTGGGAGCCACCCCTCACGATGACCAAATGCAGGAGGACCTGCTTCATCGTAGGGGGACCCTTACTTGTGGTTCAAGTCCCAGCGCTGGGGTACAGTGGAGCACGTTAGCAACCACGTTGCCACCACCTGCACGACTCTCCCACTTGTGGCTGCACGTCATCTTCATTGAAGTTAAATGACTAACAGTGGAAATGGGCTGGTGTATTTCGCCTGGGCTTCCTGGGAGGTAGCGTCCATACTAAGGAGCCATCCAGCAAAGGGGTCTGGCCATTGGTCTGCCCTCTCTCTGGAGATGAGCATGCTCAGGGAATGGGCTTCGTGCATGACCAACACAGGCAGGGGCACACGGTTAGGGGTTATAAAGTGGGGTTAGTTTGCTCATGTCAGTCACCCACGGTTCTGGAAGCGTGCTCACCGAAGACCTGGAGGCCCACTGAAGCCAGTGCATTTTGGTACACACAGTCTGGAGAATAAGAATGGACAAGGGAGAGGATTTGGAGAACAGTCAGTTCCTGGCTTTGGAAGTCCAGAATTGGGAATGGATACGTAAAGAATACCATAAACCCACGTGAGCTGATGCGGAAACGCCTCCCGGCTACATCGCTGTGTGAAAGACGCAAGGTGTGTAACATGGCACAACCTCATCTGTGTATATGTTTACACACACAGAAACTTTCTGGAAGGTTACAGAAAAGATCATCAAGAGTAGGGTCAGCAGTTGGGGTGGTATCTTTTCACTGATGCCCTTTTCCACCACTTAGCTGTTCATTTCACCATATCGAGAAAGTATGTTAATAATACATTTTCCTAAAGGGACTGAGACCCCCTTCACCTCCTGGCAACTTCATGTGGTCTTTGGTTTCTCTGACAAAATCAAACAGTATTCATCTCACCTACAGCACTGCAGTATTATCTCAGAAAGGAAAAACTGTTCTGGAGGAAGGCTGATTCCACTGACGAGTTTGCTGACAGACAGGTCATAAGCCATACAGTAAATGAGTGGGTTCCTGTAGGTGTGAGAGCCATGTGTGTATGAGGGTGAAGGTTCTGGTTTATCATGGGCTGTAATCTATGGAATAAAAACATGTACTCCACTTGATCTTTATGTTAATGGTCAGATTTAGAGGGTTTAAAGCTCCTTTTTCAAGAAAAGTTGTAATGGCCATCATTGTTGGAAAGCTTCACTGCTAATTCATACCATGTGAAGTACAGGGGTCTGTATTTACGCCATCACTCATCACTGAAGCTCCCCGAGGCTTGCCATAGCGCTACTTAGTTACATCAATTATTACTTTAAATGCTTCATTTCTTCCCATTTTTCTTTTAAGCAGAAAAGTATTTGAGAGAGTAATGATCAAGGAACAGGAAAAACTGCTTGCCTCTCATTAGTCAAGTAAAAGATGCTGTCTTGGATGAGTTTGGAGGCTTCAATCAAACCTAGACACAGCATGATGTGACTTACTATAGTCTCCAAAGGCTAGTTAGTATTTGTATGTTGTCGACAAACCTTCCCATCGTGAGATCTCTATTTTAAATGGCATCATTGTTACTGGCCCAACAGGAAGGCCAAGAGAATGAAGCTGCCAGCCATCCTAGAGAACTGATCAGACGCGACTCAGGCTGTCAATGGTATCTGGTCAGTGACACGACCATGACAAGGACTCTCTCTCCTCCTCTCACCTGCAGAGCCGCTGCGCTATACACCTAGCTTGCTGGAGTACCAGGAGACGTTCTTATGTTCAGGAAATACACATGGAATTCTCTAGATGTAAAGAAGCATTAAATCTGCAACCTACTCTCAAATGGTTCAGAAGAAAAATAAGTATATATTAAGGTTGGTGCAAAAGTAATGGCAAAAAGTAATTAAAAATAGTGGCAGAAGCCACAATTACTTTTGCTTCAACCTAATATGTGTCTGTGTATGTGTGTGTCTGTACCTACGCAGAGAGAGAGAGATAGAAAAAGAATCATAATGAGATCGGCCTGTAATCCCAGCACTTTGGGAGGCCAAGGTGGGCAGATCACTTGAGGTCAGAGTTTAAGACCAGCCTGGCCTTAAACATGGCAAAACTCCATCTCTACTAAAATTAAAAAAAAAATTAGCCAGGTGTGGTGGCAGGTGTCTGTAATCCCAGCTACTCAGGAGGCTGAGGGAGGAGAATTGCTTGAACCCGGGAGGAGGAGGCTGCAGTGAGCCGAGATCGTGCTACGGTACTCCAGCCTGGGTGATAGAGCAAAACTCCGCTCCCCCCTCAAAAAAAGATAACATGAACATGCTAAAATATTAACATTTAGGGAATCTGGGTAAAGGAACGCAGAAATTCTTTAAATTGCTTTCCTGGCCCTGCCCTTTTGCAAATCTAAACTTGAAAATTACTTCATAATAAAAATTAAAAAAAAAAAAAGGATCCCTGCACCAGCTTCAATAGTTAAATGATTGTCAGGCTCTCTAAACGAGTTAACAGCACCGTGAAATGAAGGGCTTTGTGGCTGCCTGGGAAAAGGAGTCTCGATTGTGTTCTTGCTATACAGACGTCCTCAACATTCGTATTCTCTTTGGCTCTTGCTGTGGGTCATTGGATGAAATGTCCTGAAAGTTCCCTTTTTTCTGTCTTTAATTTTTAAATAAAATACTTACAGTAACTCCACAAAAAGTGGCCACCTGTGAAAGGTCTATTTCAATGTGCTCTGCCTGCCCACGCTGGAATATGTTTCCTGTGTTAACATTATAGATCAATTTCTCCCTCTCTCATCACCATTCAAGTACAGTGAATGATTCTGGCTTGCCTATGAACCGCTATTCTGCTCCTCGGTGCCAATGGCTAGAACTAAAAAAAGAAAAATCAATTAACTTTATGCTCCTCGTATTTGTATAAACTGCGACTGATCACAGGCGGGAGGAGTGGAAATGTGAAGGCTATTCTTGGTCCATCTCATTCACATTAATTATAAATTGGAATAAAAGCCTACAAAATTCAAAGTGATGGTGGATCAGAATCCTGGATTTTATTTTTCTTGGAAGCAGAAAGCACTTGCCTTCCCTTCGTGAGCCTTCTGGTTGCTGGGCCAAGCCGCTGGCTGCACCCTCTTCCCACACTGCCTCCCTGCTCACCTGACACTGGGAGGCAGGTGGACACTTGCTGCTCCCTAAGTCACTGAAGATTACCCTTTCCAGAGGCAACATCTGTTTTAAACTTAAAATTTCTTCTTACGTAGACTAACATTATGAGCCTTCTTTTTTTTTTTTTTTTTTTTTTTTTTGGAGACGAAGTTTTATTCTTGTTGCCCAGGCTGGAGTGCAATGACACGATTTTGGCTCACTGCAACCTCTGCCTCCTGGGTTCAAGCGATTCTCCTGCCCCAGCCTCCTGAGTAGCTGAGATTACAAGCGTCCGCCACTATGCCCAGCTAATTTTTGTATTTTCAGTCGAGACGGGGTTTCACCATGTTGGCCAGGTTGGTCTTGAACTCCTGACCTCAGCAGATCCACCTGCCTCGGCCTCCCAAAGTGCTGGGATTACAGGTGTGAGGCACCACGCCTGGCCTACGAGCCTCTTTTTGATGACTTGGGTTTGTTGTTGAGAACATCAGGCTGAGCTGATGGCCCTCACTGAGCTGACGGTCCTTGCGCCTCAGGAGCAGAGAATGCTCCGGATTGTGCTTCCTTAAAGAGATCCCTGAAACCAGCTTGCTTTGTGCTTGCTCCTAAGGAGGAAGAACTAGCTATTGGCTGCTCGTGTCCAGGGAGCACAGCACCACTGTCTGTGGTCATCTTTGGTTTTGTTTTTACAAAATAAATCCTGTGAAGTGACTGTCCTATCTTCCAGAAAATCATCGTCTTCGTGGTGGCACATGGTGGCTTTTTAGGGACAGACATAGCTCTGTCCAAGACTGGACTCTCCCACTGCTGAATGCTACAGGCCAGGTTCTTCCCTCATGTCTGAGCCTCCAAACTTTCTACTGTCAGGGGAGATGACCATCACCATGGGAGGCGGCCATTGCTAAGGTAGATTGCCACTGCCCCACACAACTGACGCTGGTCACTCTCCTCTCTCTGTTCTCCTTTATGTGTCACCTGACACAGAATCCAGCCCGTGGCTGCACTGCAGATCCTGACCTTCATGTCGTCGTGAGATGGAAAGTCCCGTGCTAACCTCCTGACGGATCACGGCACTGTGAGATGCTTTTTGCGGTGGGATTGCACATTTTGCATGGCACTGCCGTCTAAGGGTTAACTGTAGTAAAGTCACTCTGGCAGTCAGGAAGAGGATTAGAAGACGGCACACTAGAGGAACACAGATTCCCCTGGATGAGCTCTGTGGCTGTCTAGCAATGGAATACCCCTACCCTCTTTCTGGAAGACTGTTTCATTGGAGGTTCAAAAAGTTTAAAAATTCATGAAACAAAGATGATGGGCTCCTGGTCCTACAAGCTCAATCTGAGCTGTAGAAGCAGTCTGCAAATCATCGTGAGAACCTGAAGTCCTGCTACTGGTATTTCATAATAAGCAAAGGTTTAATTCCATGGGAGCCAGGAGTGGTGCCACACATGAGAACAGCTACCTGTCCTTAGTCCTGCAAGTCTCAGGGAAATGGATTCAACCAGCACTTGCTAAAAAAGCATCAGGCAGACTTTACCCAGATGGAAAAGATTGGTTATCCAGGGTTCTAAGAACTACTCAGAGGTGACAGCGCTCAGAAATGGGCTCCGGGTGAGAGACTCTGGCTGCATTACGTTTGCCTGATTGTTCTCCCGGCAGCACAATTTGGGCTTGCATTGCTCGTCTCTCTTTGAAATAACAAAATGACCACCCGTCAGACAATGCTCAGCTCTGTAAACACATTTGCCTTTTCAGTTAGCTCTGGATCAGGGAACCACAGGGCACTTTTCACCAAGGAAGACGGAAAACCACATCCCAGAATAACTTTTCTATGTGGCTCGTTCTCTCCTGCTATTAGTGTTAACCACGGCATACCGTGCGGCTTTGACTTCGGTTGCTGTCTGCTATTCTACATGTCCTCTCCAACCACTGGCATGGCTCTCGGCATGGTGCCTCTGAGCCAGCGCATCACCACCGCACAGAGCGCAGTCCTCAGGGACCACTGGAGGCGGGGGTGCGTGCCCTTCCATGACATGCTACCATGAGCATCCCCCGGCCACCTGGCCCGGTGCAAGGACTAGAGCAAACAGCTCTCAAGAGGCACATCACCGGCCTTCCAGGAACCAGAACTTGTCCCATTTATCTCTCTGCCCTTGAAGTTCTCTGCTTTTGGATCCGGTGTCTGTGGGTCCCTGGTAGCCATGTGCTTCAAAATCAGAAGAGGCCCTAAAATCAGTGCACAGGACTTGCTAAAGAAAAGGTGAGGGTGGCCGTACTTAAGGGCCTTATTTGAAACGATGATTCAGGAGGAAGTCAACGGACATGATTGACGTTACCCCTGTGAGCCCATTTCCTGTCCATCTGTGCTCTTTCCAGCTCCTTCCTCTTTTGTGCACAGGTTTTCCAGGAGAACACGGGCTTCTGCCTGAGAAATCTCCCTGGGAAAAGATGCAATCTCTCCCTTCCTTCCGGCCAGAGCTCTCACCAAGCAGGACTTTTTGCATGAAAGTTCCAGTTTTAAGGCCTGGGTCCACAATTTCTGCCTCCAATTGTGAGTTCAGGGGCTATTTCTTCACAGCCGGGTGCAATTCATTCTTCCTTAATTTTAACCAGCATTCAGTTAAACAAAACGAAACAAAACAAAAGCAGTAGCGCTCCAGGAATGAAATATAAACACACACTGCTTCTAACTCAGCTGCCTGCCGTGGGTACAACTTTGTTCCAGGGACTTCCGCGGACCGCAGGGAACACTTTACATTCCTGCCTGCCAGAACCAAGTCGCCCTCTGGTCTTTCCTGTATCCGAGTGTAGGGCCAAGTATCCACAAACCCTGGGAGACTATGCAAATAAACACCCTCTCCTGCCATAATGAGGTGGGAATAAATAGAAGAAGACACGTGTTATGGTTGGTTTTGCTCTTTCTGGAAACTGACTGACAAGTAATTGGATTTTGCTCAACCCTCAAGGCAGGGTCAGGAACATCTCTACGTTGCTCCTATAAAGAAACTAAGCTGTGTTCAAGATGCCATTGCATAACCTTCATAATTCAAGATGACAAATAAATATTAAAGGCAAAAGAGGAAAAAAAAAATCCCTAACAGAATTTTCTAAGGAGGCTGCTTGCAGCATCACTTATCACTCTCCGCACCCCGCAAAACCTTCAAACCAGGTTATATATGCTGAGGGGCAGGAGCCCATGAGAGCCCCCTAAAATCAGTGCACAGGGCTTGCTAAAGAAAAGGTGGTGGGGGGACAGATACATAAGGGCCTTATTTGGAATGATGATTCAGGAGAAAGTCAACTGACCTGATTAATTTTAGTTTTTCTTCAGTGTGTGCTAAAAATATCTTAGAAAAATAAAATCCAGTGGGCTCACCCACAGCAGTTTTATTCTTGGGGCAGAGGACACAGAGGCACACATAGTGAGGAAGTTGCTGCTCTAAGAATGAGGCTGTGTGTACCCAGTCGGTAACTCTGCCACCCCAGGCGGGTCCCCTGGCCTGCTCATGGGGCACCTGTCAAAGGAGATAGATTTGAGCGAAACCAACATGCAATGCTTCTGAAACTGACTGTGGAATAAAGTGGCTTTCTGCAGTCTCCGGGGAGAGGCACAACGGGCTGCTACCCGATGCCAAGACAGAGGCAGAGCGTGAAGGCACAGGACGCCTTTGGGGGCTCTGCAAAGTGGCAGGTGGTGAGTGACGAGGCTGACATCTTAAGGCTCTCAGTTTACCTCTAGAGATATAAACATTATGAAAGGCACTTGCTGGCCACATTCAATAATCAGAGCTTGCAGCTTCCGTGGCAGGGCAGTTGCTGAGATGCAGCAATGGTGCAGTGGGTGAGGACACTGACTTGTCCCGGTTCCACCACCTAGCCGCCGTGTGTCCTCTGGCAAGTTAGCCTCTCTGTGCCTGCTTTCTCCACTGCAAACTGGGGAGCATAGTACCCATCTCGCAGGGCTGTTGGGATGATTAAATAGATTAATATTTGTAAGGCACTGAGAATAAGGCCAGGCACATGGTGTTTAAATAAATGGAAAAAAAAAAAAAAAAAAAGGAATCAAACAGGGAGAATCTGAAAAAAGCCAGCAACGTCAGGATTGGCGGCTGTCACTCAGTCCCTGCAGTGGTGGCAGCGGAGAATGTGGAAGTGGTGTCCAGGCCCTGTCTAGGAGCTGGCTAGGATGGGGTTGTGCTTCAGCGCTCCCATCAATGCCAGGCAAATCCAGGAAAGCTGGAGACAGACACGAAGCCTGAGTCTAGCTGAGGATGGAGGGCTATGAATACAGCCCTGCTGGGTGCGAGTCCACCAAGTCCAGATCCAAAGCAGAGCGGGCCTCACTCCCTAATCGTGTGGGGGTGCTCTGCAGCTGCCCAGCTGGAGGACGAGGTGTGCACAGGGTCTCCTTCCCTGCCTTATTGGTCCTTACTCTCTGAAGGCAGCAGGAATCCTGGCTGCTGAGGCCATAGGACTGAGGACAAGGCTGAAACCTGGCCAGTTTCTTCACCCTGTAGAAGCCGGAGGTCACCAGCCTCCTCTCGCCAAGAAAAGAGATGAGTGGGATACTCCCAGAATTTGATTTGGGGAACTGGGGTTCCGAAAACAGGCTGCTTTTCTGGACTCACCACTTTGGGCTTGAACGGTGGCTGAATCTCCCTGTTCTCTAGTTTCTCCCAGTCGATCCTCCGGAAGAAGGCATGTTCTCTCACATCCCTCTCGCCCTCGGGCCCGCAGCCCAGCCGCTTGGCTGGGTGTTTGGTCATCAGCTAGGAACAGGAGAAAAAGAGAAGAGTGGCTCACAAGGCTTCCCAGAGACAGCGCCTCCCATTTGCCTAGCGCTGCCTACAGCTCTAACTTTGTGGACTCCTGGACAGCATCTCAGAGGGCTGACCAAGACACTCAGTGGCTTGCACGGAGTGAAGCCAACTCACAAAAATGACATCAGCAAGCATAGCCCTTCCTATGGTAGTTTTCAAGATAAGGGCACAGGAAAGCAATCTGAACCCATGGCCAAATGGAAGAAGAAGAATTTAAACAGACACCTCATCCGTTATCTGTTTTGGAGCCACCATGCTCTAGATATATCTGGTTAAAGGAAAAAAAGGCATGCAATTACTAAAAACTGTATGTGCTGAAAGCATCACAGTCTAGCATCACAGGGGATGCTATAATAAGCATCATATGGGGCCAGGTGCGGTGTCTCACGCCTGTAATCCCAGCACTTTGGGAGGCTGAGACCAGCAGATCACAAGGTCGAGAGTTCGAGACCAGCCCGGCCAGCATGGTGAAACCCCATCTCTACTAAAAACACAAAAAATTAGCCAGGCCTTGTGGTGCATGTGAGTCCCAGCTACTTGGGAGGCTGAGGCAGGCGAATCACTTAAACTCGGGAGGCAGAGGTTGCAGTGAGCCGAGACTGCGCCACTGCACTCTAGCCTGGGAAACAAAGCAAGACTCTGTCTCAAAAAACCAAACCAAAACAAAATTAAAAAACACCAAAAAGCATATATCTATGTATTTTCTGGGCTAAAATATTATCAATCAAAGACTCATAGGTTAGAAAAATAAATGCTGTAACAAGGAAGGTGACTAGTTAATTTCAACTTGCCTATTGCAAGACACAGAGACAAACACTGACTATGAGCTCTTTGAAGACAGAAGCCAGTTCCGCCTGACCTCAGTATCTCTTCCAAGTACCTTGCTCCTGGAAGACATGTGGCAAACGCCTCCCAAATGGTCACACTCACCAGATAATGTTAAGGGCATATTGTACTCCATCTTACTAAGCCTGAAAATAACTTTGTGACCTAACTCTTGACCATTCAAAACTAGACAAGTCACGATCAGCAATTCCATTCCTGGAGCAGTTCCTCAACCACAGCGTGTGCATATCCTCACCAAAACACATGCCCCAGAAGGTTCACGGCAGTGCTGTTTGCAGCAGCCTCAAACCACAGCAGAAATAATCCAAATGTCCACCAGAAGTAGAATGGAAAAGGAAACAATGGTGTTCACACCGTGGAACACAACACAGCAATACAAAAGGAGGGTCTATAACCCCACACAGCAATGCAGACAGAGTCCTCAATCACGACACTGACAGAAAGCAGCCAGGCCAGGAGCAACAGTGCAAGGTTTGGTCTGTGCAGAGCTGGAAACAGGCAAGACCAATCCATGCTGTCTGAAGTTGGGAGGCAGGTTATCTTGGGGCAGGGTAGTGACTGTAGCCGGGACAGGAGGGGGCTTCTAGGATGTTGGAAACATGGTTTCTTGAGCTGAGTGCAATTACATAGGTGGATGCATCTCGTGAAGATTCATTTATCAGCATATTGATGATGTGTGCCCATTTCTGTATGTATGCTATAGTTCATAAAAAGTGTCGTAAACAAAGAACTAACTGAGTCACACCAAGTGAGACAGGAGATGAGAGCACACTCTTTCTAAGGGCCTGTGATGACATGCGGCAGTCCCCCCCACAATTTTACGAAATGGATTAGAATTAAAAGTACAGTACAGTCACTAGTGACTGGGCCAGAGTCCCAGGAAGTACTGAGATTCCAATCCATTCTCCCAGCCTTCACTTTCCCCACTGTGCCCTGCGTGACACCAAGCCCCCACCCTCGATGGCCAAAATGCAGTGGTGTGGGTTTGTGGTATTTCTGCCATCTCTCTTAGAAGTGTGGGGCAAGTATTTCTCCTACCAAAGCTCTTGGTCCATGATCACGAAAGGTATCCAAATCGACTTACTCCTTTGCAGATGGAAACAGCTTCCTTGGACAAGGATTTGGGATAGGACACGTTGTGCTCCATGATAGACTGAAACAGTTCGTCTTCATCTTCACCATCAAATGGAGGCTGTTCCAGAAAAAAACGAAAGACGGGGAAGTATTTAGGCAGAGTAATTCATTAACGTGTACCTGAAGAGTCAATTCAGCACCAAGGAACAGACCAGGGTTCTCAGCCCACCGCAGGCTGCACAGCTAGCTCAGTCAACTGGAGGGCTGATTTGATTATCTTTAATGAGGTTGATGGTTTTGTGTTTTTCATTTTTTTTTTTTCCCCCTCTGTCTTGTTAATTATCTTGCCCTGGGCAACCCAAACAATCTTTAGGGAAAAGTGTTTTTGAGTAATGCTTTTAATGATTTGCAAATAAACTATGATTAATCCATTCATCTTGTAATTATGTGCTAAAAATCTAATTATGATCAGTTAGGTTACAGGCGGCTTTGTATGCAGAAGGTGGCCGTGGCCCATGGAAAATGTTAACACTTTCACCTGGGGTGAAGGGGACTTCAGAACACGGCCTAAGAGAATGACCCCAGTAATTCAAACAAGAAGCTGCTCTGTGGGGTGTGTGTGTTGGTTTGGTGGGGGGAGGCTTTGAACCTGCACAGTGGCAGTGATGGGACCTTAGCTTCCACTGGACTCCTCCCTCGTCCTTTTTGACTGGGTTTACAGCGACCAGACTGAGAGAAAAAGGCATGGCAGCCCCGTGGGAGCTCATGGCTTTAGAGTGAGGTCAATCTGGACGAGAATTCTAGCTCTACTAACTTCCTAGCTGGGTGTCCACAGGCAAATGACTTAGTTCTTTAATACACAGTTCTCCAACTTGCAAGATTGGGTTTCTGAGAGTAAAGTGCCTTGTGTTTTGTGTTGTGCCCAATAAGTAACCAGTGTAAGGAAGGTTTAATGGTGGAAGCTGCAGGTGGGTAAAGAGAGCTAAAATGAGCCTGCCTGACCCAGAGCAGGGCAGAGGCAGCCAGCCACAGTGATTTCCACCAGCAGGAGCAACATGGAGCCTGGGAGGACCCTAGGGCAGCTTGCGGGGAGGGGGGCACCCACCAGGGAGTGCAGGCTCCCGACAGCCACCTGTGTCAGCAGGGGGACGTGTCGCTTCTGTCTGTAGGGGCAAAGCAGGCAGGCAGTGGTGGGGGAGGGCCATAATGGAGCTACAGTGTAGGCTGGCCTTGTGCCCATTATATATTCCCTGCCCAACAGCCTACAGCCTGCTTCTTCTGGATACCTACTACAGGATACCCATAAAACTTCTCATTTTCCCTAATCAGTGATCCATAAATCTGGCTGAGTTTTGGTGAAGGAGATTTTTGTAACTCCAACAAATGTGGTGGCTGGGTGTGGTGGCTCATGCCTGTAATCCCAGCACTTTAGGAAGCCAAGGTGGGTAGATCACCTGAGGTCAGGAGTTCAAGACCAGCCTGGTCAACATGGCAAAACTTCATCTCTACCAAAAACACAAAAATTAGCATAGTGGCACATGCCTATAGTCCCAGCTCTTCAGGGGGCTGAGGCACGAGAATAGTGAGTTGAGATTGTGCCACTGCACTCTAACCTGGGAGACAGAGCAAGGCTTTGCTTCAAAAACAAAAATATGGTGTGCTTTCTGCTAAGGGCTGTGGCCTGCACCCTGCAAGGGCTCAAGGCCGCTAAACTGGCTGTGTGCACGTTCTCTGCAAAGCAAATGTGGCCTGTAAGGGAGTGGGGCAGAAGCTATGCTTATAGGTCATTGATTGGCACCTCACCATGTGGCCCGAGAGGACCCCTGGTCAGGGCCTGACACAGACTTTCCAAGTCTCAGTGCAAAATGAAAATGTAAGTCCCTCATTTAAAGATTATTAAGAATTTTGACCAGGCGTGGGGGCTTATGCTTGTAATCCCAGTACTTTGGGAGGCCAAGGTAGGTAGATCATGAGGTCAGGAGTTTGAGACTATCCTGGCCAACACAGTGAAACCCTGTCTCTATTAAAATACAAAAAACTAGCTGGGTGTGTTGGCGGGCGCCTGTAATCCCAGCTATTAGGGAGGTTGAGGCAGAAAAATCGCTTGAACCCGGGAGGTGGATGTTGCAATGAGCCGAGATTGCACCATTGCACTCCAGCCTGGTGACAGGGCAAGACTCCGTTTCAGAAAAAAAAAAAAAAAAAAAAAAAAAGAATTTCAAGGTTTCAAGGTGGCGAGAACAGAGCAGCAAACCAAATGCGCAGGGTTCTTCTGGGCTTGGGCCCTGTGCGACCATGTCAGCTGCATGTCCCCGAAGCCGGCGAAGTGGGGTGCACCTTATTGAGCAGTGACAAAGGTGTGGGCGAGATTCAGCCAGTCTCTCTGCAGGTGCTTGAGTCTCAGCTGCAGGAACGAGGCGGGGGCCAAGTCCCAGACAACACAAACCAAAGGCCTAAGAGAAACGTTCTCTAAGGAACACAGGTGAAGCTTCTCCAGGAAATGCTCTTGAGTAGGGCGGTGAGAAGTTTCTTCTCATTTGAAGAAGATCAGGTCAATGCAGCTGCAGCCATCCCACCTCCAAACGCGGAAGGCCAGGAATTGTTTGGGGAACATGCTGTGCAGGGCACTGGCCAGATGCACCTTCTTCATTGTCTCCTGGCATGGGAACCAGCTTTTCCAGGTGAGCTGTCACCACATACGATAATTTCTGAAGGGGAATGGCTGCATCAGGGATTCGATTCTATAGATCAAAGGAGGACTTTCACCATCAAGTCTTCTCTGGGCCCCAGAGAAGGCAGGACACCTGGACACTGGCACTCCCCAGAGAGTATTCCTTAGAACATTAATCCTACAGTATCTTTTCCTGGGTCCAAGTTTGCATCCTACACCCCTCTCTGGCAATTTGCTTTTACATTTAAATTGTAAAGGCCCTGAGAAGTCCTGCAGTGAACAAAGCTGTTTAAATCAATGTGAATTATTAGTGCAGGGCTGGAAGGATCCTCAGAGGCCTCTTAGGCTTGTCTGGTGGAATAAGATGCCTAAACTGTAACAAAGCCACAAGACCAAATGCCCCTGTGACACAGCCTGTGCATTCCAGCCTTGGTGTGGCCCCAAGGATTTGGGACTCTCCATCACCACATCCCAGGGGATCTAATGAAGGCAAGAGTTTTGGGGTACATTTTAGAAGGCTGATTCATAGCCTACACAATATGCAGTGGTGAGTTCTAAAAATAAAGGGCGGGGCAGCCCCAGGAGGCTGAGATGTTTCAAGTCATTCCATAGACAGCCACTGACCTCTGAGCTAGAGACCTGGCATGGTTTTCCAGCTCTGATGAATTGATGGGAATCAGGCTGGCTCCCTTCCCAGCTGCTGGCCAATGCAACTTCTGCGTTGCTTCCCCAGATTCCTGCTGGTTGAAGATGGCATGAATGTGCAGAAGGTAAAAGAGGGCTGTTGCTGGGTGTAGGGAAGAGGGGTAGTTACGCGCCTCCCCCAGCTTTGGAATACCATCAAATCAAATGCATCCTTTTTTCTAGTCTGTTTCCTCTGCTGCAAAGATAGAGACTATTTTTTTAAGTTGTGATAAAATATATAACACAAAATTTATCATCTTAATCACTTTTAAGTGCACTGCACTGTGGCATTAAGTACGTTCATGTTCTGTAATCATCACCACCAGCCATCTACAGAACTTTCTCACCTTCCGCACTGAAACCCACCCATGAAATAGACTCCCCATTCTCCCGTCCCCCCAGCCCCTGGCAGCCACATTCTACTTTCTGTCTCTAAGACCTGACTACCCTAGGTATCTCATACAAGTGGGATGATACAATACATGTCCCTGTGACTGGCTTACTTCAAGATGTAGACTATTGGTATCTTAACCATGCCTTCAGGGATCAGTGAGGATAGGATAGGTCCTGCTGTGGAAACAAACCAAGACCATCGCCAAAATGTAAGACAACATGTGGCCAGGCGCAGTGGCTCACGCCTGTAATCCCAGCACTCTGGGAGGCTGAGGCGGGTGGATCACGAAGTCAGGAGTTCAAGACCAGCCTGACCAACATGGTGAAACCTCATCTCTACTAAAAATACAAAAATTAGACGCGTGTGATGGTACACACCTGTAATCCCAGCTACTCAAGAGGGTGAGACAGGAGAATCACTTGAACCCAGAAGGCGGAGGTTGCAGTGAGCTGAGACTGTGTCACTGCCCTCCAGCCTGGGTGACAGAGTGAGACTCTGTCTTAAAAAAAAAAAAAAAGAGACAACATGTTTCATTTTCTGCTTATGCTGCCTGTACATTGGGGGTCAGAGAGGCCTCTGCTGGTTGCCCTTGGGGACCTGCCCGGATGGAGCAGCCACTGTCACAGTCGTGCTGCAGCAAAGGCTGGAGCGGCAGCTCTGCAGTGTCTTGTACCTGCGCTTCCAGCCCCACCCTGGAGCACCTCCCCCGATCTCACTGGCCGGTGCTCCCTGCCACCCCCCAAATACATGAGAAAGGAAGTACAATCCTACCATGCCAGGAAGGAGAAAGACTAGAAGTACCCGGTGAATAGCAGTAATGACAAGCACATTCAGGAACGCTGCTGGAGTCTGCTATATATATAGTGAGATGGATTCTCACTCTGCTTGTTCAGGCTGGAGTGCAGTGGTGCAATCTCGGCTCACTGCAACCTCTGCCTCCTGGGTTCAAGTGATTCTCCTGCCTCAGCCTCCTGAGTGGCTGGGATTACAGGTGCACACCACCACCCTTGGCTAATTTTTTGTATTTTTAGTAGAGACGGAGTTTCACCATGTTGGCCAGACTGATCTTGAACTCCTGACCTCAAGTGATCCGCTCACCTTGGCCTGCCCAAGTGCTGAGATTACAGATGTGAGCCACCACAACCGGCCTGGAGCCCTATTTGAAATGAAAATTATGTAATATTGTGGGAGGGGAGGTCTACAAAAAAAGCATCCCCATTCCCTTCATGTGGACACAAAAATTGTTCTTATTTTTATGTGGGTTCTTGTGCGTTCTTATATTATTTTCAAATTATGATGCATAATTTGGAGTTTCTGTTTTTCACTGAATGTTGAAATACATTTTCTTCGTAGCTGCCAGTGTTTCCAT